CTTTTATCTGAGTTTGGTGAACATCAGAGTAGCCTGCAAATTTTAGCTTCTTCCCAGACAGGCTGGTATTTAGCAGGAAAGAAAACAAGTGAAGAAGGCCAGGAACCCAAGAACTTCTGTGAGTTCCACCAACTGGAGGTTTGGTTGGGTCACCTCCTTTTTCATTGTGAATATACATTTTATGACAAGGTAAGTTTAACTTAAAACTTAGTGGAAAATTCTCCATTGCCTTGATCTATAAGTGAGAAATGACCTCTTTTTATTTTACAGGAAACATCCTGTAGAAGCTCTGGAAACTTCTATAGAATAGCAGCAGCCAACATTTTTTGAGTAACAATCCATGACAGGTACTGCTCTAGGTGCTCTACTTGTAATAACTAATTATCCCTTACAAAGACCTGTGAGTCCAGTGCTATAAATAGTTTCAGTTCACAAATTATAAAAAACAATGAAGAGGAAGATTAAGTTACGTGCCCAAGAAAGTGAAGGAAAAGGGAGATTGAAAAAGAGGGAGGCAAGGTAATGTTGACCAAGACGTCAACTCTCACATGCCAATTTTTCTCTTGGTTCCCACTTCATCTTTGTTTTGGATACACTGATCATTCCTAACCAATGGCAATCCTACCATTATTTCAAGGGTCTCTGTTACTTTCTGAGAACAGAAGTGGGGACAATTGACCTCCATGTTCTTCCTACATCCTCTCCCTGGAAGTGCTGGGGTTCCACTGATGGATCCCTAAATTCAGTGTTCCCTCACCTCCAAAGTCACAGAGAACATCTAAGTACTCATGGCCCAATTGGCAATGCCACTCATGTGCTCCTTGGCCCTTCCTCAGACACAGCCTGCACTGTGATGGGTGTGCGTACTCAGACCTGCCTCTGGCTGGGCTGGGGGACACAGAACTGGGGGCAGAAAGGAGCCTCCATCCTCTTGCAGCATTGGGCTGACCCCACCGGGAAGGGAGGATCTGCTGTAACATGGGAAAAGGTCAGAGTTGTTATCTGGCTTAAGACTCCTGAGAAGCGATTTTAATGAAATGATAAAATACTGGGCCTAAATTGTGTCCCTAAATTTGTCACTTAAACAAACAAACACATGAATGTAAAAATATTCATTTAAGACTCTAAAAATAAATCTGCATATGGTTTTCCTTATTCATCCAGATGTTCATAAAGCACAAAATTATTTCTTAAAAGGGAGCATATCTGTGTTTTGGCATATGTGGTAGACTGAATAATGGTCCCCCAAAATGTGTCCATCCCTGGAACCTATGAATATCCAGTACTTGCATAGTAAAAGGGGTTTTGCAGATGTGATTAATGATCTTGAGATTTAGAGATTATGCTGAATTATCTTGGGAGTCCCAATATATTACTAACCACTAAACTACAGTCTAGGACAGCCAGGACAACTGAGTGGAAGAGAGACGCAGAGGAGATACCCACAGGAATGGCAGTATGAGAAAGACTTAGCCAATCCACTGTTGCTTGCTGTAAAGATGGATGAAAAGGGCCCCAAGCCAAGGAATATTCCAGAAACTAGGAAAAGCAAGAAAACAGACTCTCTCCTAAAACCTCCAGAAGAAACACAGCCTGTGGACATCTTGAGTTTTAGGCCATTGAAATTGATTTCAGACCTCTGACCTCGAAAACTGTAAGATAATCACTTTGTGTTGTTTTAAGCGACTAAGTTAATGGTAATCTGTTATCGCAGCAAGTGGACACTATTAATAGTTCAGTGTGACAGAGTCCAGATCGGAGTCCTTCCTACATTATGAATAAAGCATGAAGTTTGGGACTATCTTAGAGTAAATTCTAATTCAGAATCACTGAAAACTGGGAATTAACATAAGAATGAGACAGAATACATGCATTGTGAGTTTGCAAAGTAGCAGAATAGAATAGCACAGCCCTTAATAGGAAAATGGGTCTAAGTTTAATTTAATTTTACCGACAATTTGGAAGTCACATTGCAATGTTGCAATATCATCTCTCTACCATCATGAATATTAATCATCGGGGTGCAGCACTGTAGGAAACCACTGAGGAAATTTGAGCTTTCCGTTCGCAGGCTTTTTAAAGACTCTGGGCAGATGCGTGTACTCAGCAATATGTGCTCTCCCAGCTGTGACCTGGACACTTCCTGTGGGCCTGTGAGCTACTCCACAGAGAGGATGCCTGGCAGGCTGAATGCTCCTTCCCTTTGTGATCACTTTTTACATTCCGTGTTAGACGTGGAGGAAGTCAGCTGGGGTTCACTCAGCAAGTGCTGACTGGCCCCTCCTGCACATTCTCCCTGCTCTCCCTCGCAGCAGCTGAACTCCACAGCACAGAGAGCCTATTTCCCTCCCTCTACCACGGATGCCCAGTGCCAGCCTCTTAGTAGGTGCTTCATCCCAGGTGCAGAATGGATGTGTGAATACACTGCTTTCTAGAGGGTCTTTCTCTTCATCAGGCCTGGCCACCAGACCACTGACCAGGATGGCCGGGAGAATTGGGCAAAAATGCTCAAAGGAAAATGACACCGTGGCTACACCTTTTTCTTAGATCCCCATCAGGAAGCAGGTCTCTTCAGGAGGAGAATGTCCTTGTCCTTCAGGGGACACAGCGCTCCCAGATAAAAAAGGAGAGATAAGATGAAGCTGCTTTTACATTTTAATTTTTTGTTCCATTAGCAAAGTTAAGAAAAATGGGAAAAATGAAACCATACAGGGCACCCTTCCCTCACTTTGGGAGAACATTTGGAAAAACCATCTGGCAGAGGGTATTCGAGCTGAAGAGATAAATGCTCATTCCCTTCGGCCCAGTAACGGCACTTCTGGGAATTTATTCTAAGGGGATAATCCTAAATATAGAAAATGTTCACGCACAAGAATTATTCGTTACTTTCTTTTTTAAAAGTTGCAATACTCCGTGTAATAATGAAAACTGGAAATAACCTAAATGTCCAACAATAAGGGAAAATCAAGTATATTATAGTGTATGATTCCTTTGCGCCCTTTAAAATATCTGTATGAAAAGTTTTTATAACATGAGAAATGTTTGTGTTATTAGGTTCAGTGAAAATGGCAAGATACAAAATTTTATGGACATTGTGAAACTGATTTCTAAATGCATGGAAATAGGAGTAGGAGGATATATTAGAAAATTATTAGCAATGATACTCTCTTATTTTTCTATACTGCCCATATTTTTACAGTAGACATTATATTTTTTATACATTTATCTGTGGGGCAGGGGAGAAATTCTTTATTTTTATTTAAGATCCCTGCCTCTGAGGGGCCAATGTAACACAATTTATTCGGATAGTTACTGCTCAGGATGAAGGAAGAGCCACTGATGGCACAAGCAAAAAGGAGAACCAGTGGCGGGTCTTGGCGAGTGTCCTAATACAAAACCATCACCTGGATTCCTGCTCCCACAGCCTCGCCCTGTGTCACTCTACCTGCCATCCCGCTGGCAGGAGCAGGCCCCAGGCCTCAGCCACAAGGCTCACTAACAAGTCGGTCTTTCTGACTGGTTCCTGGAAAGCAAGGGCCACACCTCCACCCTCTCCCTCAGCAGCCGGAGCCTTTCTGTCTCCTGTTCATCCACCCCCATTCCTTCCAGACTCTTTTGGCTGCCTTCCCCCCTCCCCCACCCCCATTATCCCAGGGACTGCAGCTCTACCTCTGAACCCAGATGTCCTGGCACGAGTGCTGGCCTCTGTGATGAGCCCACCAGGAAGCCAAATGCCCACTCTCTTGGACCTGCTGTCTATAGCCAGATGCTTCCCTGTTGTGCCCACTCATCTGCCAAGGCAGTGAGCAACCGCCAGCCCTCCTGGCCCTTCTGATTGCCTGCAGCTGGGGCTCCGACCAGACATTACCAGGGCTAGAGATTCCCTGCTTTTACTCAAGAGTCTAATAAAGATGTAAATGAATGATGGTGATGACGAGCTTTACCAGTGGCTGGTACTGTGCTAAGCACTGAACCTGGAAAGTCACATGTAATCTTAAAATAACCCTACAACATAGGTGGGCTCTGCTGGCAGTTCCATTTTACAGGTGAGGAGACCAAAGCTCACATAGGTGAGCAAGATCAAAGTCACGGATGTAGTGACTGAAAGAGACAAGATTAGAACCCAGGCCATGGTTTGATCATTAAATTACAATTGCAGGAGATATAGCCTCAAAAGGCAGGTCATTGCAATGAAGGGATGGGCATGACAATCTACAGACCACATGTCCATCTGTAGCGGGGCAGTCACTGCAAAGCCCCAGGTGACTTACGCCAGGTAAGAATGGGGGCCCAGAGTTGCCAGACCTCCTGAGTTTTCAAGAGATACCAAGCAATCTGCATTTTTATGTGCAACCTCCCTGTTTAGTAATGTGGATTCAACATTCTCAAAAACACTGGGTAGGCAAAATATGCACTGAGCCACACTGTACCTGCCTTCCAATTCTAACCTGTAGCTCATGCTCTTCTCTTTGAATATATATATATACTAGAGGGGCCTGGTGCACAAAATTCGTGCACAGGGGTGGGGGGTGGGGGGTGGGGATGGTCCCTCAACCCGGCCTGCACCCTCTCCAATCTGGAACCCCTTGGGGGATGTCCAACTGCTTGTTTAGTTCTGATCCCTGCAGGACTAAACCAGCAGGCAGACATCCCTTTCATAACCTGGATCTCTGGTTCCTAACCACTTGCCTGCCTGCCAGCCTGATCACCCTCTAACCACCCTCCTGCTGGCCTGATCTCCCCCAACTGCCCTTCCCTGCCAGCCTGATTGCCCACAACTGCCCTCCTCTACCACGATCTGCCTCCTCCACCAGGACCGTCCTCCTCTGTGCTGCACAGAGCCCTGGGAACCCCAGGCCTCACCACGTGGAGTGGCCACTGGGCCCTGCCTCTGCTGTGCACATGGCCATCTTGTGATATCACGTGAGGTCATCCCATGAGGGCGTGACACCACCTAGACTTTTATTCTATAGGATCACGTCTTTTAGCAGGCTACATACCTGCACAATCTCTAGCATTTCTGCCTTGCTGATGTAGCCGTTTCCATCCAGGTCATACATGCTGAAGGCCCATTTCAGCTTCTGCTCCAGCTTGCCCCTCGATGTCACACTCAGGGCTATGATGAACTCTCTGAAGTCTATTGTCCCATCTCCATTGGCATCGAAGGTGCGGAAGACGTGCTCTGCAAACTTGGAAGCATCCCCGTAAGGGAAAAAGTTCCCGTAAATTTTCTTAAATTCTTCCATCGACAAATGTCCGCTGGGGCAGTCTCTCAAGAAGCCTTTGTACCACTCCTGGATCTCGTGCTCCGTGAAGTCCGTGCTCTCCAGCAAGTCCTGCATGACCTCGGGGCGCAGCTTGCTGTTCTGTTTGCCCATCCTGGCGGCAGGCAGTCAGCGGGAGCTGGGAAAGAACAGACATCAGCTTTACACGTGCTCTTTAGAGGCACATTTGATAATCTGTGATTGTTCCTTTGGGGAAAAGAAAGAAACTCTATTTCAGTCTAACAATGTTGTCTACATTGTTTTCCAACACCGTAGTCAGCCAATCAAAACGATAGGAAGACAAGCAGGCAAACGATGCAGAGCAAAAATATCACTGATCAGACACTGTTATTGCTTTTATACAGAGCCAACCTGGAAACAAGAGATGCATAATGAAAGGAGAGAGAGGAGAGAGAGAGAGAGAAAGAGAGAGAGAGAGAGAGAGAGAGAGAGAGAGAGAGAGAGAGAGAGAGAGAGAGAGAGAGAGAGGTGCACTGGCTACTTAGTTCTGCTTTATCTATTTGCAAGAGGCCATGGCTGGCTTTAAAAAAAAAAAAAAGTTTCTAACACTCAGTCCAAGCATGAGAAGGTAGAATAATTAAAGGAGAGGAAGAGAGAGAGAGAGAAAGCAATCATATAATTGCTAGAACATTTACAAGTAAAGTGCTGCTTGCATACCTGCTGAATAGTATAAACAGACATGAGTAAGGAAAATAGAAACCTGCCTAATGCCATTAAAGCGACCAAGTTAGGTCAACTATTTATTAGTAAGTTCACAGAGTCTCTTCTATTGAATTGCCTGTGTGCCTGTCCGTTGTTCCCTCTAAAATAAATTCCTGGAGGGCGGCGTTTGCATCTCACACTGCTCAGACTTCTTTCATAATAGCCACAGTTCAGGAAGTGACAAACAATCCTTAGTAACTGCCCTGGTGACTTTGGTTTGCCCGGGGCAGCACTGGAGGCAGACCTTGCCCCTCTCCGGCTCCCCAGCCAGCTTCTCAGAGGGGCAGGGAAACAGAGCAGGCAAGCATCTTATAACGCAATTTAATAAAATGTTATTATGCATAAAATTCAACTCCAACTCCACTGAAGCTTCCAATCACAATCACTTTCACTCCCCTCTCCTACTTCCCCCCCCCCCCCCCCCCCGCCTTTTTTTTTCTTCCTGAAGGAATACAAGCAAAGATAACGAGGCTGGTTTTTATTAGAATTGTCAAACTGTCATTTAGTTGCTAAGTTGGCAATTTGCCCGAGGCAGGAATTCAGAAACATGAGGTAATACATAATCCATGGGTTTACAGAGCTCTGAGACATTTGCCGGAATTTATAAGCAATTCCGAGCTTTCCTTTTGAGGAGTTCTTCGGAATACAGCTCTTTGGTGTGGTGTTCCATCAATCACCATTAATAAACTTTTTTTTATGACGCTGTGGGTTCTGTGCACATCACCGTGTGCCTGGCCTGGGGGGAAGTGCCATTCCAATATTTAAATCCGCTCTCTTAAGAAATGATCGACTTCCCCAAATATATAAACCCAAACCAAACACAAGTTCCTTTCCCAATGTTTAAAAAAAGCTCTTCTCATTTATTAGCTGTTTTGCTCCAGAAACAAATGGCCTCAACATTTGGGCTACGTCTCCCACGGAGACGGATCTGTGTGCAGCTATTTTTCGGTAAACAGTAATTAAACCACAATTACAAGTTCATTAGCACAGAAAGGCCATGGCGCAGACAAGGGAGAAGTTGGGGGGGGGGGGTGTTTGCGATTTAGTCCAGAACGTGTTTCAGGAGATAAACTACAAGTGCTTTGCGACCCACGATGTCTGTACTTTCGAAAACCATCTGGACTTGGTTAGTCTGAGCGACAAAAACCTCAGGGGACATGTGATAGAGTTTCATTCCCGGGAGGAGGGGGAGGAAAGGGAAGATAGAGGCGTGCCTGACAATACCTTTTGCTTTGGAAAGACAAGAATTTCTGCCTGTTTTGAGTTGAAGAGGGGCAGGGGAATCACATCAGGGAAATGCCACATTAATTAGCAGTCAAGAGAAAAATAGTCTTCAGAGAAAAGTTGCACCTCATTACTCCGTACAGTCATTAGAACACTTACTTTGTGCCGGGAGAACATAATGGGGGAAACCTCAGGCCATTGAATAAAAATGCTTGGGTCCAAAGCCTGGCTCTGTTGTTGCCTAGACTCTTGAGTAATTCACTTAACTTGTTGGTACACCTCAGTTTCCTCATCTTTACAGTGGATCCAGCAGTATGACTTCATATCTTACCGATGTGATGTGAGAATTAAGTGAGACAGTCTTATACATAAAGCTCCAGCATTCAGCCAGGCCATACACCATGCAAAATGAAAACTGCGTCTTGTCCTTGATGGCCCTTCACGCAGGATTCTACTGAAACTTCCCAGCAATCCTGAGTGGGAGGCAGGAAGGCTTTCCATATTTTATAAGCAAAGAAATGAAAACTCAGAGAGGCTAATTAACTTGTCCCAAGTCACACAGCTTGTGACTGAGAGAGACAAATGGTAAGTCCGAGTTTACGTGGCTGTCCACTGTTCTTGTTTTTTTTTCCTACTATGACAGACGAACTCCAGGGACAAAGGACACAGAAATTAAGACAACAGTCCCATAAAAAGTCAGAAAGAAGCAGTGAGGAGAGAGGCACTCATTTATCCTACTGACACTCATTTATTCCACACATGTGTGCTGAGTGTCTGCTGGCAGCGAGACGTCAGTCTAGGCACTGGGGGTTCAGCAGGAAACCAACAGGCAGAAACCCTGTTCCCATGGAGATAGTGCAGGAGACATACAATAAATTGGATAAATAAGTGAAATGATAGATGGAGGTGTGCCATGGAGAAAAGTGAAGAAGGAAGGGGTTGGGGAACACCAAGGTGGGTGGATGGTTGCTGAAATCCTATCTAATAAAAGGGTAATATGCAAATGGACCCTAAGGTGGAACGACCAGGACAACCGCTCGACCAGTCACTATGAGGTGCACTGACCACCTCTTGGCGTCTTCCCCCCACCAGCAGGCTCCCATCGTCTGATGGCGAATGGGGAACCAGGGGTAGGTGGTGGCGGGACCCAGACAGCACAGGCCAAGGTCCCTGCTGTCCCACCGGTCACCCCCCACACAGAGGGCAGCCTGTAGTGGGAACGGGGTCGGTGAGTGGAGACAATGGCTGACCTCTTGGTCCCTTCCCCCTCTCTTGGCAGGCTCTGACTGCTGTATGGTGAATGGGAAGCCGGGGTGGATGGTGGCAGGGCAGACCAGCTGCGGGCAGCTGGGAAGATGGTTCTGATTGCAGGCCAGGCCTAGGGACCGTACCCATGCACAAATTCCGTGTACTGGGCCTCTAGTTTTAAATAAGAAGACCCCACTGAGAAAGTGATATTTGAAAAGGACCAGATGAAGTGAAGGTGGTAGTCATGGAGATAGCCAGGGAAAAACTATTCCAGGCAGAGAAAACAGCAAAGGAGAAGGGTCTAGAAGAGGAACATGCGTAGCATGCTCCAGGATATGTGGGAGGGGAGGGCAGGAGAAAGTGAAGGAGGTGAGATGAGAATCATGACGAGAGCCGGAGGATGTGAGACCTGGAGTGACTGGGAGGAGTTGGGTTTTCACTCCGAGTGAGACAGAGTCCCTGCACGATTTTAGCAGGGAGGCGACAGGAGTGATTTATATTCTACCTGACCCCTCTGCGCACGATGCTGAGAGTAAACTAGAGAAGGGGGAGGGCAGAGGTGGGGAGACCAGTTAGACGGCCAGGGCAGCGATCCAGGCAAGAGATGAGGGTCGCTGGAGCCGGTGGTAGTGGCAGGGGAGGTGACAATTGGACAAATCTTTGAGGAGTTCACAGATTGGATAATGTGAGGTGTGAAAAAAGAGAGCAGTCCAGCGTCACTCCAAGGCGTTGCCCTAAGCAAGTATCAGGCTGAAGCTGAGACTTGCTGAAATGGGAAAGGAGGAGAAGCAGGGCATGTGGGCGAAGCAGGCTCAGTGGTGCACGTGTGAATTCTGAGACACCTAATGTACCTCCCATATCATGTGTGTCATATATATAACACATATCTATTTATTTTTGTTGAATCTGTACCGCCTTCAAGTGCAATGCACATTGATTCTGTTGCCATCAGCACTCTGTTACTCAGTAACGCACTCTGACAAGGGTCATGTGGATCTGCCCAGCCTATTTTGGGTCACATCCAGTCTCCCCAACAATAAATCTGGGGTTAATATTGACCACAGATAAAAAAGGAAAATATGCAAGCAGAGAAGACATCAAACCAACAGAGAACCATGACTAGGAATCTGAAATATGAAGTTAACTTTCTATTTAAAAAGAAGGGGGAAAATTTTTTAAAAAAGCACAGCTCCGAAAAGTGATGCCACAGGGACAGGAAATGGTGACTGGCGGGCAACCTGTGGAATGCGTGTGCGCCCTTCTTTGTTTTCCTCTCTGTGGAGAGAAAGATTGCGGCATTTCATTCCTGCAGTTCCTGGTCAGGTTCGAACAACTCCAGGAGTTAACTCCTAAGGGCCCAGCGTTAGGTTCTCCAGGGAAACGTCCTCAGCTCATCCTGGACAGCCTGGTTAGCCGCAGAGGAAAAACCTCAGTGCCATCCACACCGAGGTCCCCTGGCATGGAATTTACAAGATATGAGCAGCTAAAGCCAAGCTCAGCCACAACAAAGAACACGGGGCCCACAGTGGTGTAAGGAAGAGATCAGGACAATCTATAATAATGAAAGCATAGTATGCTAATTAGACCGGACAGCCGAACGACCTTCTGGACACCCTTATGGATGATCTTCCAGACGAAGCTGGGGCTGCGAGGGTCAAGCCCCTGGCACACATTTGGTGCTTTGGGCCTCTAGTAAAAAATGTGTGCCTGCTTGGGGCATGCAACCTTGTCCTCTAATTTTTTAACTGATGGAAGGTCTAAATTATGAAAACACACCTAGAAAAAGGCTCCTAAAATGTAGAGAAGAAATGATGCGTTATGATGGATGGGAGCAAGCACTCATTTACAATGACTGAGGTCCTTTAATCATCTGAATTTTACAGGTGGCTAAAGTCCAGCAGCTTTATTTCTGGGTCATT